AATTTCTGCAGCAGCAGCTGCTGGTAGCAGCAAAGCCTAAAAAAATTCAATAAGCCAAGTTATGCGTAAAGAGTTTCCATGGTTACCGATGTTATACCACGTCATAATAAAATGGAAACAGAGTAACCTCCTCCGAACTAATGTCTCTGCAACCTCCATTTTGCCCATAATAAAGTGATTATAATTGCATCAGAAGAATCAGCACAAGAACTATTGTACGAACTATGTATAACTGAGTTAACATATAATTTGATTATTTACATTGTTAAAATGGAAATATTAGCTCGTAAAGAGAAGGAATTAGTGAACAGCAAAGCACTAATAAACAATACCAAAATAGAACATGTTAGAAACTTGAGTTATCTCGGAAGTCAATTGGGAAGTGAACAAATTATGATCTACAAAACAAACTACAAGGATTTAGTTGCGTCTGTAGAACAATTAAACGCACATAGCTGAACAGAGCTCGACGCGAGGCGATCATAAACTTCTACATAGCAGCGCCATCTCTCTTGGATGGCAGTGGAGTTTAATTAAACATCAGCTCCAACAGATCGGTTCTTCTGACATGAGATTCCTGAGATCAGTGGCAGGATATAGAGGAACAGACACATAACTAAGCATAGATACTAGACAAGAACTAAATACAGTTAACCCAGGAGAAAGAGTGTAAAATGCCACCAGAATTATTCAGAACGTGTTAATGCAAAGTATCGATTTCTTCCGAAGATCATTGACTGTTTCTAGCGGAAGAAGGGTGAGAGATAGAACATCAAAGAGTTGGACGGGTCAATTCGTCCAGCCAGACGAGAGGAATGGCTCAAAAGGCGCAACTTTCGCACTTAATAATGGTGATAATTGATCCCTCTATATGTGAAGGACTGATTCGTTTGTTCAGGCAGAAAATAAGGTGAATAGAAAATTAACTATTTTTATTTATAGTTCACATGATTGATTCCTGTCCTGATACACCGGTTGTGTAGGAAATGTAGAGATACAGGTATATTGGAAATGCATTTGTCCCTCTCTTGGACTGAAACTATCGGTTTTAATTTATTTTCTCGTAGATGACAGCATAAAATTCACGTTTTGAAATTCTAGAGGCAGTAACTGAGCGAGGACGCCGGGTCCGTTATCCTTTCCATACATTCCCAACGTGTCTTTGATTACATTGGTATACTTAATTCGAGTGTTATCCCTTCGTTAAAGAGATAGCCGCTGTACAGCGTATGACAGCGATATTTACAAGGAAAGAAATAATATCTGGGGCACAAAATAAACATTTCTATGTGTATGTCTCTTTCTCTCTCTCTCTCTCTCTCTCTCTCTATATATATATATATGTGTGTGTGTGTGTTCTGGTGGTTAGAGTTCTTCTCTACAGATCCAGAGGTCCCGCGTTCGATTCCCGGCGCTAACAGATTTTCTGAGAATTAGTGGGTCTGTAACGGAGTCCAATTATCCTCGTGAGGATAACTGAGGAGCTATTTCGGCTCTGGTATAGAAAACTGAGATTAACTTGCCGTGGGCATCCGTTGCACTGACCACGTGACATCCTCTATCCGAAAAATTTGGCATTAACTTCGCCGACAAGCGGCGGTCGCTCGATCGGTATAGTTCGCTTGAGGACTACAGGCCACGGAGTTCGTTTTTTATTATGAAATCTCAGGATTTTTTCTTATTCTTTTCCCCTAATTCCTTCATAATGTATAATCACGAATTAGTGATTATGCACTGGGTTTGGATCGGTAATTGGATTTATTGAATATTTATTAATCGTAACTATAAGTAATTATAGCTCTGTCGCTGTTCTATATACTGTATAATTCACTAAAGCACACACTAAGAATTCTAAGTTAATTTTCTCTAGCCGTTGCTTCTTTAAGGCTCTTAATAATATAAATTCCACAGTTTCCGAGTTCGACAGCTCCTGTCCTCGCGTTCTGGCGACTATCTCACACCTAACTCAATGCTCCAACTGTCCACTCTCAGAGTTGAGAGTTTCTTTAAGACTGGCGATATTTCCGCCAATCAGTTCGTCTTGGCGCCGAGCCTCTTGAGACTCGTGACCAGAAGGTCTTATTTTTTTGCAACTAGGATTAGTTTCTTCCCTTTTAATCTCTAGCTTACGAGTAAGAGTCTGTGAATAAGTCACAAATACATATACAACGTAAAATATACGATATTCGAACTTGGAAGAAACATTTACTTCTCCACCAAGACTGATACGCTTGTCCCATCATTTCACAAGTACGTTGAAACCCTTCAGCACAGAAGTGTTTTGACAGTTGTCTCAGTCAACTCAGCACTTCAACTTCGTCATCAGTGAAACTCTTTCCACCATGTCTTTTTTAGCGGACTAAACAGATAGAAGTCACACTTCCTACCGTAAGCAGGATTAATTTTTTTATGAATATCCTTCGCATTACGACCTTTCGTACAAAAAGAAAGGCACAACTGAACGCTGCTCTTCGATAATACACTCCTCAAGCACGGACGCAAATTTGACTACTGAAACCAGCCTCTGAACATTAACATACGAACGCGTCTGCTACCTAGACTGTCATGAAGCTGGGGTGTGCTGCCACCGAGTGATACAAACAGAAAACTTATTACATTCATTTAATTCCATTTGTGTCCTCTTTACTGACTCTCCCTCGCAGTTTGGTGTATACCTATATTATTTCCTTGGAAGACCGTGGCTTTTGTCTTCGTTCTCGGCATTTTCATAACACACAATTCTGCCAGAATATTTGAAACCTTAGAAGAGTGTTTAAATGCCGACGTAAGATATTTCGTACGATATTTCGTATTCGTACGATAATACATTTAAGGCTGACTTCGATGAGTCCGATCGAAAACAGTCACCGTATAAGAGTTGTTTAACCAGTAATAGTCATATTCGACATTTCCTGGTTCGATTTCATTTTAACCGAAAACATTATCGTTGAAACAAATCTGTCGCAATGACAACAAGTCATCTGCAGCCACCGCGAAAAAATTAGATATTTAACAGCCATTGCTAAGTAACGGGTTCGAAAACAAACACGTTTCCATGGGAACAGTTACACAGCAATAATGGAACGGTGTATTCTGTGTTGTCCGTGCCGAGATATAAGCAGGAGAGTTAGTGAGATTCAATTGAGCTGAGTTAGTGAAGAGCTGTTTGGTGATTTAATGAGTGAGATAGAGGACTGTTGCTGTAAGAGGCTGGTAGCTGAGACTGAGGATAGTTCGGGAACCCGGGTGAAGGCGAAATTTTGCCGTTGGAAGCCGCTACCAAACAACGGCTAGGAAAGACTGAGAAGACTTTATGTGTGCTGTAGTTACAGCGATGTTTATAGTGAGCAACTCAATGCAACTGTCGAAGTTATTTCTAGTTACAATCTGCAAGTGTTCAATAAATCCGATTACCAATCCAATCCCCGTATATAATCACTCAAACACGTGACTGCATCTACGTATGGTAGTGGCTATGCTTTCTGGGATTAGAGGTTTGTTCAGAAATACAAAGAATTGGAAAAAGACGCGAGGTGGCGCTAGGAACTTTCTGTCCTCCATTTTCCTCAGTTCTCTTTAATATAGTTAACGTATTTGAAATATGAGATATGTAAATCTCGTTCATCTTTGGTGTACAGTTTTAAATTCTCGTTTTATAACGTTTAAGAATATATAAGTGATTATTTTAATCATGCTCATTGCAACATCATCTGCTCGTGTATATTCTACGTATATTCACACTGCTTATATTACTGTCTTTTATTCCTGTAATGTGCTTCGAGCACCTCTCAGCAGTTCAGGCTTTTCTAGGTTGATCTTCTTAAGTTCTTTTGGTGGTCTTTCAATATTTATTCTTGTTTCACTATTCCCTGTCCTAAATTCTACCCTTTGCTTTCGGAAAATGTTGGTCTTCGAGTCCCTGTTCGGTACCTCGAACATTCCTCTGTGTTAAATATCTGCTCTTCCTTCTTTCTGACGCGCTTCAGCTGTTAATCTTATTTATAGAGAAGTTTTATTTCGAACCAAAACTGCTTCCCTTAATCATATACGGTAGTGGTACTTTCTTTTTAAGTACTCAAAATTTATGTTCAAGACGAATGTATGTACATACAGAATGAGCCTTGATGATAACCAGGGCCCGGATTTTGATGACCTGAAAATATTTAAAAAATGATGGAAAAAATTCAGAAAAATTACCTAAAATATGACCCAAATATGTAATATGCAGGGCCCGGATTTTGATGACCTGAAAATATTTAAAAAATGATGGAAAAAATTCAGAAAAATTACCTAAAATATGACCCAAATATGTAATATGCAGGGCCCGGATTTTGATGATCTGAAAATATTCAAAAAATTACCTATAAAATGACAGAAAAAACCAGGAAAATGACCTAAAGGAGAAAATAAAGAACACTTCGCTTCCAAGTTATTCACATTTCAGAAAACATATAAAGAAAAATTCCCCAAGATGGCCAAAAATGACAAGAAATACCCTTAAAAGTCCAAAAATTTACCAAAAAATTACCCCCAAAATGAAAAGACGACCTTAAACCTAAAAATGTAAAAAAAAGACAAAAAAATACCTATAAAATTTACATTTCTGTAACCAGCAGCTCATATCCGAGATTTATATATTTAAGAGCATCGCATAGGATACAAGGAAAAAAAGATGACGTCATCAAAATCCGGGCCCTGATGATAACATTTAATATGAGGAGTGTGCCCTACACATTAGAACAAAGCAGAAACTGTCGACAAATTTCAAGTTCGTAACCGCCTTGTTAGTTATATATGGCAACAGGAAGCACGAAAGAAAGAACGTAGATACATGACGATGTTCTATATGAAGAGTTTATTGACTGCTAACAGAATGTGAATTGGCAGTTTATTAACAGTTTCCAAAAGACGCTGAAACTGTCCACCTCTAATAGTGCCAATCTACTCTTACAACTGAGCCCTTTTGCTCCAAGTTTTTCTGATCATTTGAAATTTTTCAGGCTTGCAGTCGTCCCAGCCGCTTCAGTGATATTTCAAAGTTCGTCTCGCTTGTTACAACGTTGGGAGAGAAGGATGATGGTCTTCAGATGGTCCCGCAAGTAGGAAAGGGCAGGAGTGAGGTCAGGTGATCGCATGGGCCATGCAGGTGGCACGTTTCATCCTATGTATCAAACAGGTCAGTGGCTGTCTAAATGACGCATCACTTACTTACTCGTATTTACTGACTCTTAAGAGTAGAAGAAAGGGCAGGAGCCCCACCGTGCAGTACCCATATGTCTACCACGTTGCCAATTTTACGTTGTGCAGTAGCTCTTGGTAATTGTTCAGATAGACAGCAAAAAAAGGCCTTCATATTCGAGGCGGTAACTCATAGGAACCTACAAGCAGATCGAAAATTATTCCGGCCCAAACATTTATTCAAACTGCTGTTGGAATCGTGTTTTTTAAATGAATGCAGATTTTCATCGACCCATGGTTTCGGAATTAATGAATTAATCTCTTTCGATACAAATTAGATCTCAAGATAATTACATCATTCTAACTGGCAATCACTATTTGCATCTGATATAAAATTCAGTATTTCAGAAATAATAGTGTTTTTAAAAAGTAGAATCCGGGTTAGCTTAGTCGGTATAGTGACGAGCTACGAACTGGTCGGCCGGGATTCGACATCCCGGCAGGGACAAAATATTTTTCTCTATTCTGTAGCTCCAAGACCTGCTCTGGAGTGTACCCAAAGGGGCTCGTACATTGGTAAGGCGGCTGGGGCTTAAAGCTGACCACTCACCTCCACCTAATGCAAAGGTTAAGAATAGTAGAGATACATCTTCAGTGCCCCATGTGCTCTCATGGGACAATGTTAATTAATTAAGCGCAAGGGCAAACTTTCATTATTAAAAAAACATTCTGAAATACAAAATATTTATATACGCGTAGCCTTGACCGAGAAAGTAATTCATGAACAAATATCTGTCATTGTGATTGAAAACAGAAAGGAGACGTTATTTAGGTTTCCACTTTCTTTCTAGTGTTTTGTTAATTCAGCAAAACTGCGGTTGACAGAAATTGCACTCTCTTGTTTTTTCTTACTTTGATGGCCGAGAGATTAAAAATACTGACTGTGACAATGTGACTTCCGACTACTTTCATCCAGCTGCCATTGTTGACTTGTTATTGCCAACCTCTCGGCTGTCACAGGATGAAGGCATTTCTTATGAAATTTACTTCTCTAGTCCAACTTTATTGACCGCCTTTGTGGTCTAGTGGTCAGAATTCCTGGCTACAGATCCGGAGGTCCGGGTTCGATTCCCGGCGCTACCATATTTTTTTTTTGGAGAAGTAGTGGGTCTGGAGCGAGGTTCACTCAGCCTCGTGATGATAATTGAGCAGCTATTTCAAGGAAATAGCGGCTCCGGTCTAGAAAACCGAAATTAACGGCCTTGGGGATTCGTTGCGCTGACCACGCGACGCACTCTATCCGCTAAAGTTGGCACTAACTTCGCCAACAAGCGGCGGTCACTCGGTCGGTATAGTTCGCTTGCGGACTAAAACCACACAGTTCCTTGTTTTTGTCTAACTTTATTTTATACGATATTTTAACAAACCGTGACTGTATTGGGTCTACATTCAGTGAAAGTGCTGTAGATATTGCTGTAGACAGTCTCAGCAACAACATTAGTGAATTCATTTGTGTCTGCTCACTCGAAAACATACAAAAAGCTCTGTTGTAATCCAGCTCAACTGCTTGGTTGGAAAGCTAACTGCCATGTAGGAAGAAACGTGTCTGATTTTTTTTCGGGTAAAGAGGTTCGTCACATGTCTTGTAGCCTTATATTGGAGAGCAGAGACTTCTGAGACGCAACGTCGTGTATTTCAAAGAGGCTCGACGTTTGAGGGGAACATATCACCCGCATCTTCAGGGTCGAATCCTGCCTGCTATATCTATATGTTTCTTGCTTGGCATACTCTTAGACCGTGAACACAGAAGCTATATGTTCCTTCGAAACGTCGGATCTCCTCACAATTACACCGAGGTAAAACCCAAATTGACCGCATTCTTTATAGTCAGTGTCCTCAGAACCTCAGGTCCAATTTTGTTTTAATGTATCGCGTTCGTGTTTTATGAGGAATTGGTAGGATACAAGACGATGTAAGATTTTAGGTTCTGACAGGGTGGTTATGAATAGTTCTGTCTTCTGGGATATAAAGTTATGTACTAATACGTCGAAAGTTAACTGATGTTCCTGAGGAACGCATTATATCCTTATTCAGTTTCAAAGATAAAACCAAACAAGAAACCACAATATCTTGCTAGCTCCTTCATGTGTTGATTTCTTGCTTGCCTTGTGTAACCCTGAAGATGGAAACGATATATTTCTCCGAAACACCGACCGACTTTCAACGGGCTACACGGCGTTGTATCCTAGAAAATAGAACTCATTAGGTAGAAGATGAGGTCAAAATGCCTGAAAGAAATTTAACGAGTTCTTAAAGTGAAAACTTCTGAATTAGCCAAGAAGCCAAGGCGTTTAATATGCCCTCGTCTTGATTTCGCGGGGCACTTGAAGGTATTCAAATGAATAAATACGAGTATTTCAAAAGACATAGTGTCCAGACTGTCTTTCCTTGTGAACGAAAGAAGCAGCGTGTTGGCAGAAATATGAGATTATAGAAATGCGGATTTCCTCTTGTTTCTTTCCGCGTTAGGAGAGATGATTGTAGGTTTGCTTTCTGCAAATGACGGGAATTGTCCTCAAGAACTGATATTGCTGGAGAATGTTTTAGTGTTTTAGAATTTGGGTTAAGGAAAGCCATCCGGAATTATTTCTGCGAAAGCCAGAAATTTAGTCGCCTGCTCGCTGCATAATACTCAGCAAAGTTAGAGGGATAAATCTCTTGACAAACAAACTGATGTTTGCAGTGCTGACGAAACTGGAACTTATTTAAATAAAAATCCACTAAACAAGAATTTTGTTGAAAAGGGAACAAAGAGATTAATAAGTGAAATCCTGCTTTTACTTTTCTTTAGGAGAAACGATTTTATGATAAACTTCCTGAAGAATATTATAATGGAACAAAAGTTATTATTGAATATGAGTAGACAAAACTACGAAATTTACTTGGAGTGGTTAAAACACTTCAACAAATTTAGAGTCTCTGGACCTTTGTTAAACATTACTGACGATCACACAGCTCGAGAAGCTTCGCCTGCTATGAAGACACTTCTCATCGCGGTTTGTTTGCACAGTAACAGCAGCTGTAGGCTTCAGCCAGTGGCTTGAACTTTTCTCAAAACTCTGAAGGCCTGCTGTGTTGAGGCAAGTAATAACTTTGTCACAGAATCGACAATACCAAGAAGGTTTTTACGTTTAATTCTGAAAGTATTTTCAAAATTTCCCTGACAAAAGCATCAGATTTTTTATTACAGTTGCCGCGCGGTATGAGGCATGAAATGTCTTCTCCCGCTCAAACACTGGGATCGTGGGTTCCAGTCCCACTGAGGCATGAATGTCTGTCTGCGTTTCTTCCATGTTTATATTCTGCTGTGTAGGTAGCGGCCATGCGACAGGGTTAATCACCCGTCCAAGGAGTCATAGTATTGTCTATAAGATCAATAGTTGCAGATTAATTCAAATGGGAAACAGGCCACAGCGCCTAATACGAAAGGTAAAAGAAAAAGAAGAAGATACCACTTTCTGTATTGTTGAGAGAGAATTTATATCTTCGGGGATATTCCATTTCAATGATAACAATGAATAGGATTACGAATTCTTACCTTCAACTATCTACCCATCAGTTGAAGAAAACAAACAATCGTAACAAACAATCCATTATCTCAGAACCACTTCACGGTTCCACCTAATCTGTGGAAACAGCAGAGCGTAGGCTAATAATAAGCTTTCATGACATGCAACCTACTCCACTGAAACGCAGATAGTAAACAAATAAAAAGAAATCCGATGAACAATAAAATTCACGCCTCCTGAATTAAATGCAAGTATCATATTTTAATAGACTCCAAATATATCTGTCTTTGTCAGAAAACGGGCAGCTCAAGGAAAGAAATACCTTTGTAGGAGCTAATCTCAATCATTGGACCAAGATATTAGCTCTCTCTAACGGGCCCAACTGAGTAGGTGTCTTCTTTTCTTACCTGAAGACGGAAACAGATCAAGTTTCCGAAATGTCGTGTCCTCTATTACCTAAAATTCCGGATCATGGAAAAAGTCCAAACCCCAGCAATTCTGTGTGTCATCCACCATCGTCAGAACCCTTTAGAACTTAATTTAATCTTTGACTAATTCATGAAAGTACATTTATGGCCCGTAAGTACGAATCAAAATATATTTTTGTCTGAAGTATCCCAATTCCCCTTTTTTTTCACCCAAAATTAATTTCCGTTCCACGTAGGCTTCTCTGCGCCGCAGAACCTTAATTTTTATTTCCGATACATAAATACAACCAGAAGAAAATATTTTTTCTGAGTTGTTACATAGAGATTAAATCAGATGAAAGAATTTTCATCAAAATTCATGTATTTCTTTTTTCAGTGATACATATTATGAGATACTGGAATGAAGTCTGTGAGGGAAAGGAAAACAAACAATTTCAAACAATTTTAATTAGGAGTTTGGTCCGTTCCTCTGCTACGTAAAAGTTTGCACCTGGATTCTTTTTATTGCTAATTCTGCTCAGAATACAAACTAATATGGGAAGGTTTCCTATCTAGGATCCTCCTTTAGTTTGAACCAAATGAAAGAGGTTCAGAGAAAGAAGAGGAGACAAAGTGAGTGACATTAATATTTCTCAGTAACTGTAGCGTAATCCTGCATTCGTTGGAAGCACAGAAACTTACAAGTGAAGGCAGCAGTTTCTTTCTCCATTAGAATGAATGACCCATTAAGTAGCAAATGGAATCCATATGTTATTTTCATCGGTGGTAATTTCTGATAAAACTCATTTCCTCAGAGTCCCATTTTAGGGATTCGACTTTGAGAAAAATCTCCCGTATTCTTAATTGGCTAGCTTCTCTACAATTTATGTGCCTGTGGTATCGACTTGGCTTCATGGTGTGTCTTCGCATCGGAAATTCTTTGGTTCCGCTCATTCCATCTGGAGAAATTACGTC